TTTTTTTATATTAAAAAAAAAAAACCGTTAACCAACGACTATTGTTTTAGCCATTTCTACAGTTAAATGTAGAAATGGCTGGGGACAAATATTTGTTTAGCTTACCCGTTGGAACATGAACAGGAAAGAAATAAATGACAAAACACTTTTAGCTTTCCATATGACTCGTCCGTTGGAGCTGCTCTAATAATATAAATGACTAAAACAACATACAAATATTATAAAAAAACCATGATGCAAATACAAAAAATACCTTCCCAAGCAACCTTTAATTCATCAAAGTTAAAAGACAAACATGAAATTTTATTATACATGAAAATATATAAAAATATAACAGCTCCTCATTTAAAGATCAATATTTCTTAAACATAAAAGGTATTAATATTATTTCACTATACAAATAAATCTACCAAGATACAAATATCTCTAGACTAAAGACAAATTTTTTTGAGCTCCCAGATATATTTTTACTATACATAATATGATAATATACACAAAACAATAAGCTTCTCCCGATTAATTCTTAAATAATGTTTGAATTCCATAAAAAATATAGTATTACTCTCAATACCAATGTAATTATTAAAAGAAATGAAGGTAAAATAATAACTATACTATTTTGAATTTGCAGCGAATTTCCTTATATACTATAGTAAAATATTGAGTCGTTTTTTAGACTCTATATGTTTACAGGAAAATTATTTTTTTTAAAAGTAAATTCTAAAAAAAATAAATTCCTAAAAAGTGAATTATTTTTTGTTATGTGGTAGTGTTATAAAAAATAAACTGGAAAATAATTTATTAATATTTTATTTTTCTCAAGTTTATTAAAATAATAAGGAACAAATCTTACAAATTAAAAAGTTGAATGAAAATAAAATTAAAAAAAATATAATTTCATAAATTATCTCGAATAAAATAAATAATAATTAAAATAATAGAAATCAAATCTAAAACAAATAAAAGATGAATAAATTAAAATAATAATAATTAACATTTCATAAATTATTTTAAATAAAATAAGTAACAATTAAAAAAATAAAGATCAAATTTGATAGATTAAAAAATTCAATAAAACCATAACAGGGGAAAAACAAATAACAATTATAAAAATAAGAACTAAAGTTAATATAAAAATTAAATTTTTAAAAATAAAATTAAAAAATAAATATTTAAAGTAAAATATATATAGCAATAAAAAAATTGAGGATCAAATTGGATATAGTAATAATAATTAAAATTTCTTAAATTATTTTAAATAAAATAAATAACAATAAAAAAAATAAAGACCAAATTTAAAAGAAACAAAATCAAAGGGCTGAAATTGAAAAAAAAATAATTTTATAGCTAATTAAAAATAAAAAATAGTAATTAAAAGAACGATGACAAAATCTGTAAATATAAAAATAAAAGGGAGTTAAATTAAAAAATATAGTAAATAGTATAATATTTCTAAATTTTTCACAACCTTTAAAAAGTATTTTCCATCCAAATGTTTTAGGAAAATACTTTTTTGAAAATTAAGTTAATTTTTTTTGATTGAAAAATATTTTTTTTTGATCAATTTTTATAATAAAAAATAAATATATAAAAATTTAAAAAATAATTTTCAAAAAATAAATTCCAGAAAAGCCTTAGTTTTTTTTTTAATGTTAAATCGTACATTTCCAAAATTATCACATCTTCAATGAATAAATTTGAAAATTATGGCAATAGCACTCTCTTGGAGTTGTACCATTGGAATATGCGGCAGTCGAAATGATATCGGGTGAATCCGTGTTGGTATTGATTTTTAAAATATTTTTTTATTTATAAATATATTAAAATAATATTTTTAATTTATTTTTGAAATTAAGATATTAAAATGGTATAAAATATAAAAAATTAATTTAAAATTAAAATAAAAAAATTTCAAAATTTCAAAAACATAATTTAACTTGAAAAAAAAATATTAATACAAATTATCTCATGATAAAAACCAAGACTCGGTAAATCTTGGTAAAAATAATTTCTGGAAGGGAAAAGAATCAAGGAATAATTATAAAAAAAAACTCCAAGATTTGATGTTATTTTATTTTCCTGTAAAGAACAATAATAATAAAAAATATCTAATTATTTATAAAATTACTATTATTTTTTATTTAATTACCATTAAACTCATATTATTACCCGAAATTAAAAGAAAACCTAAAACTTAGCATCTGATATTTCTTTTTAATTTTAGACTTTTCATATTCAAACCGTATTTTACCGATATTGATGAGTACAAGGGGCAACCCAACCACCACACTTGCAAGTTCAGGATGAACACAGAGTTTGATCTTCCTTTTTCTGAAACAAATCCTAAGCAAATACTAAGTGCGAGTCCAGTGAGAATTTGTTGCTGATACTATTGGTGATTTGGTGGTGCGAATGGTGCTGGATACACTACTTGATGTGGGTGTGAACAAGCAAGAACTTGGAGATCAAAGCTCTACAATCCTAGTTTATGCCGCCTATGCTACTGTCTCTGCCTTTGCATATAGGTGTGGTTATAGGCACCCTGCAGAGCTCAAATCAAAAGAAACAAAGTTGAGGTTGATTGAAGATTCTATCATAGAGCTCTCAGCAAAGCTTCAACAAAAAGAAGAGGAATTGGATTCAGCTCGACAACATGTGAAACATTGTGCCAGAAAAATTGAATCAAAAGAGGAGGAGCTCAATAAAATCAAAGGAAGAATAAACACATATGATACAGAGCTTGAATCAAGAGAGAGGGAGTTCAATGCCATTCAACTGTCCATTGAAGACCGGAGTGAGGAACTTAAAGGGAAGGAGAGGCAACTGAAACCAGGCCAACTATCGATGGGAGAATGGGAGAAAGAGCTGAAAGCAATGAAGGAACAGAAATATCCCATCCAAAAATCAGTTGTGGAATGCTCTGAGGAGCTCCAATCAAAAGAGAAGAACCTTATTTTGGCAAGAGAATCTCTCAGAGAATTTTGTGATAATCTCAAATCGATGAAGGTGCGGATGGATTCAATTCAACGCACTGGTTATGATTATAGGTATGCTTATAGACAAATAATATGCTTACAGGCATGATGTGGGAGCCTTTTATGATTTTTGAAAACCCTATAAAAAGAAAAACCAAATTGATTTCTATTGGTTATAGAACCCTAATTGAAAAGGAAAGGGAGGGAAGGAAAGGGAAAATATCGGGAAAAAAAAATTATATAAGAAGGCAATTCTATCTCTATTTTTTTTTTGTTTGACAGTGTTATTTCTTAAATTATAGCGGAAAAGTTAAAATGCAGTAGTTTTTTTTTTGTTTCAATCATCCCAAGAATCAATATTGTTAGGCTGATTTGTGGGGTCTAGCATTTTATCACTGACAGGAAAATTTTTTCTAACACAAGGATTGCTAGTTCTTTTTATTCAGGGGAGAACTAAACTAGATATCTTCCGCTAGGGTTTTTGTTCTTTTTGTTTCTGGCATATGCTAGCTGCAGGTGTATATCTTGCATCCAGGAAGAATACACTTTGAGTTTTTCATGCTGTATTTTTCATCTAGGGTTATGTATCTGTTTTGCCTTTTCTTTTTCTAATATCTGATCATTTTCCCTTTTAATATCATTTTATAGGGTATTGAAGACAATGCAACTTATCCAGCAATTTAACCTGAGCTTAATGCAACCTCAAAAAATTACTGTCTCTCCCCTGAAGTCTTTTGACTTTAACATGTAGCAAGCATCTCAACAGAAAACCATATTCAGCATAATTCCCATTCATATTTTTTGAAACAATACACTAATATTCCATAAAAATTCAAGAGAGATCACAAATAATGGAAATCCGATCAGGCCATTTACGTGCCATGAAGATAGTGAAGGAAATAAGAGGCCATTTTGCATGCATAAACCTTTATTTACCTGCTTAAATATGCAGCCATACTATTACCATTCACATATATTCGATATATATGCAAGCTGCTAAGTAACAATGATCTTAAGGTCCATCATGAATAGCAGCAGCCCTGGTGGGGAATGATACCGAGGGGATAGAAGATGGAGGGCTTGGCGCTGAAGGGATAGTTGGTGGAAGTGGAGGCAACCTGACAAGTGGTGGATCAGGCAAATTAGGAGGAAATGTAAAGCTGAGAATATTACGTGTTGGTGGCAGGAGATGACAAACTGCCACAGCAACATCAATGCTTGAAAATGACAGCTTGATCATGAACATAGCCAAAATCAGTAAGCGAGAAGATGCCATGGTATAATAATATAAGAATAAGACATCAGTGACCTCTGACCTAGAACAATCAGGCAAGAAAAGCAATAGAGGCTTATGGGGTGTGCAAACTCTGACCTTTCTTTTGCTATTTATAATCGAGGACATTGATTCACTGTGTAAATGAAGGGCAGGTTCACTGTGTAAATGAAGGGCAGGATGTAAGCTGCTGCATTTGACGAGTTTTGTTGCATGTGCTTGGCTAAAACTGAAGTGCTTCGAAAGCAGAAATCAAGCAACTGGTACATATCACTCCAGCTGCTGTTAAATTTTCATCTTCAGTGCTTTCAAATGCAGTAGTAGTCATCACATGAGTCTACCTAATTTGTTTGGTAGATGCAGTTATGTCTCAAAATTTTGAATAAAGTTACACAAATAATAGTTTCAGTCCACTGACGTTCCATTTTGATTGCTATCTGTGGTCATGGAAATTTGGTCCGAGGATGTTAATTCGAGGCAGTAAGATGTTTGGTTAAGATTAGTACTGCTCTCATTTCAGTCTTCATGTGAAGTGGCTGCTAATGTTGTTGTAGTCTTCATACCTGTAGCTAAATAGTTTGATAGATTCAGATATGTGTCAAAAATTAGATACAAAAACAAAACTACACAACTACTCTTTCTTTTCTTCTATTAATTTTTTTTCTTACATTGATGTAGTTAGCTTCTGTTTGGGGCCAATACATTCTATTTTAGGAACTGTAATTAATGATGTGTTCAATATGGTATGTCAGTGATCTATTAGTTTGTTCCATGTAACCAGCTCATTATTTGAATGAAAAAATTATTCAAGTACTTAATGATTTTTCCTCATACGAAGTCCTTTCTGGTTCTCAAACATGGATGATATCAATCATGATTTTCCTTTCTTAGAAAAAATGAATTTCTGGTTCTCAATATGATATGTCGACGATCTATTAGTTTGTTCCATGTAACTAGATCATTATTTGATTGGAAAAATTGTTCAAGTCCTTAATGATTTTTCCTTATACGAAGTCCTTTCTGGTTCTCAAACATGAAAGATATCAATCATGATTTTCCTTAGAAAAAATGAATTTCTGGTTCTCAATATGATATGTCGACGATCTATTAGTTTGTTCCATGTAACTAGATCATTATTTGATTGGAAAAATTATTCAAGTCCTTAATGATTTTTCCTTATACCAATTCCTTTCTGGTTCTCAAACATGGATGATATGAATCATGATTTTCCTTTCTTAGAAAAAAATGAATTTTTGATTCGATATTTTAGGAATCGATGAAGAAGGGCGTCAACAGAAGCTTATTAAGGAAAGGATTAGATGTTGTCCAATTGTCAGTCACATAGATTTGCTGCTGATTTCTTTCCCTTATCTGTCAGAAATGTTAAGAGAAGGGTATCTTTGCTACAGCTGATTATACACAATGATGCTGGTTGAGACCTTCTTGTGGTTTATCTTATCTTAGTTTTTTTGCAGAGGATGCTGCCAGGATAAAATATGGGTATTACAAAGGTTTCACGTATATCCTTACCCAGTTAACCTGGTTTTGCTGGAATGCTGAAACAACGGAGACTCAGGTTAATTTGTTCCTGTGGAGGTAAATGCAGAATCTGTTCTGTTATCATGCTTACGCAACTCTGCTTCTTAGATTTCTTTTCTGATGCTTTGTTTTATTATGGTGGTTTGACATATTTTGCATCAAACTCTGCTACAGAAAATGCAAAATATTTCTGTGTAGACTGAAAAGTTCAAATTGCAACCCAGTTTAAAGGACGGTCAAGGATATTGTTTGAAACAAGCATCCAACAGAAAAACATATTAAGCATAACTCCATTCATACTTTGAAACAGTATACCAACATTATTTTCATATGAAAATTCAAGAGAGAACACAAATAACTGAAATCCTCTGGCGGTTTGCATGCCATGAAAATATAAAAGGAAATAGGAGGCCATTTTGCATGCATAAACCTTTATTTATCTGCTTAAATATGAAGCTATACTATTACCATTTACAAATATTCCATATATATGCCGGCTTCAAAGTAACAATGATCTTGAGGTCCATTACAAATAGCAGCAGCCGTGGTGGGGAATGACACTATGGAGGGCTTGGCGCTGAAGGGATATTTGGTGGAAGTGGAGGCAATCTGACAAGCGGTGGATCAGGTAAATTAGGAGGAACTATTAAGCCAGGAATATTACGCGTTGGAGCCAGGAGATGGCGAGCTGCCATGGAAAATAACAGTGTGATCATGAACATAGAGAAAATCAGTAAACAAGAAGATGCTATAGTATAATAATATAAGAACAAGAAATCAGTGACCTCTGACCTAGAACAATCAGACAAGGAAAGCAATAGAGGCTTATGGGCGTGTGGAAACAGTGATCTTTCATTTGTTATTTATAGTTGTGGGCATTGATTCAGCGTGTAAATGCAGTGTGGTAAGCTGCTGCATTTGGTGAGTTTTGTTGCTTGTGCTTTGCTAAAACTCGAGCACTTCAAAAGCTGAAATCAGGCAACCAGTACATATTACTCCAGTTGCTGTTAAATTTTTGTCTCACTGCCTTCAAATGCAGTTGTAGTCATCACATGAGTCTACCTAATTTGTTTGGTAGATGCAGGTATGTCTCAAAATTTCGAATAAAGTTACACAAATAATAGTTTCAGTCCACTGACGTTCCATATTGATTGCTATCTGTGGTCATGGAAATTTGGTCCGAGGATGTTAATTCGAGGCAGTAAGATGTCAGTATTTGGTTAAGATTTGTACTGCTCTCAATTCAGTTTCATGTGAAGGCTGCAAATATTGTTGTAGTCTTCATAACTGTAGCTAAATAGTTTGATAGATTCAGATGTGTCAAAAATTAGATGCAAAAATAAAACTATACAACTACCCTTTCCTTTCTTCTACTAATTTTTTTCTCACATTTATGTAGTTAGCTTCTGTTTGGGGCCATTACATTCTGTTTTAGGGACTGTAATTAATGATGTGTACAATATGATATGTCGGCGATCTATTAGTTTGTTCCATGTAACCAGATCATTATCTGATTGAAAGAATTATTCAAGTCCTTAATGATTTTTCCTTATACCAAGTCCTTTATGATTCTTCAACAGGGATGATATCAATTATGATTTTCCTTTCTTAGAAAAAAATCATTCTTCGAGTCAATATTTTAGGAATCAATGAAGTAGGGCATCAATGGAAGCTTATTCAGGAAAGAGTTAGATGTTGAATTGTCAGTCACAGTGTTTTGCTGCTTATTTCTTTTCCATATCTGTCAGAAATGTTAAAGAGTAGGGTATCTTTGCTACAGCTGATCATTCACAATGATGCTGGTTGAGATCTTGTGGTTTATCTTAGTTTTTTTGTTAGCAGAGGATGCTGCCAGCATAAAATATGGGTATTACAAAGGTTTCATGTATATTCTTATCCGGTTAACCTAGTTTTGCTGTAATGCTGAAACTACGGAGACTCAGGTTGCTGTGGAGGTAAATGCAGAATCTGTTCTGTTATCATGCTTACGCAACTTTGCTTCTTAGATTACTTTTCTGATGCTTTGTTTTATTATGGTGTTTCAGCATATTTTGCATCAAACTCTGCTACAGAAAATGCAGATTTCTGTTCAGACCGAAAAGTTCATATCGCAACCCGGTATAAAGGACAGTCAAGGATATTGTTTGAAACAAGCATCTCAACAGAAAACCATATTAAGCATAACTCCATTCATATTACTTGAAACAGTATACCAACATTTTTTTCATATGAAAATTTAAGAGAGAACACAAGTAACTGAAATCCTCGGCGGTTCTCATGCCATGACAAATATAGAAGGAAATAAGAGGCCATTTTGCATGCATGAACTTTTATTTACGTACTTATATGTGAAGCCATACTATTACCATTTACATATATTCCATATATATGCTGGCTTCGAAGTAACAATGATCTTAAGGTCCATTACGAACAGCAGCAGCCGTGATGGGGAATGACACTATGGAGGGCTTGGCACTGAAGGGATAATTGGTGGAAGTAGAGGCAACCTGACAAGTGGTGGATCAGGCTAATTAGGAGGAACTGTAAAGCCAGGAATATTACGGTAAATACAGTGTGATCATGAACATAGTCGTTTACATTGATTCAGCGTGTAAATGCAGTGCGGTAAGCTTCTGCATTTGGTGAGTTTTGTTGCATGTGCTGGCCAAAACTTAGGAACTTCAAAAGCTGAATTCAGGCAGCTAGTACATATCACTCCAGCCGCTGTTAAATTTTAAGAGTAGGGCATCTTAGTACAGCTGGTTATTCACAATGATGGTTGAGGCCTTATTGTTGTTTTATTTTATTACGTAGCAGAGGATGCTGCCAGCATAAATTGGGCATTACAAAGTATTCGCAGACATTCTTATCTGGTTACCCTATTTTTCCTGTAATGCTGAAACTAGTAAAACTCAGGTATTTTTTTTTTCATATGGAGGTAAATGCAAAACCATTTTTGTAATTGTGCTTATGCAACTCTACCTCTTAGATTACCTTTTGCTTTGTTTTATGATGGTGTTTCGGCATATCTGTTATAGAAAATGAAGAAGATTTATGTTTAAATAGAAAAGTTCATATTGCTAAAGTATTGCAACCAGGTATAAAGGAGAGTCAGGGATGTTTTCTGCAGAATTCATTTTCCCAGGACTCTTTTTTTCAGAAATACAGGTTCTGTTGTTAGAAATATTGGAGTGCAAGCTGATGGAATTGAAATTTTGAAGATGCAGCTCTGCGTATAGACTGGAAATTTTGGTTTTATAAAACCGAGAATGCATACATGGACACAAACTTGCATGCAGAGGTAAAGCTTACGCTGATGGCTCGATCAGCGAAACTTCATAATGTGAGATGACGGGTTTTTTTTTTTTTTTTTTTTTTCAGAATTTGATTAAGGAGAAAACATAAACGAAAATGAAATTTTAATCAACCTTTTATTCTGTAATAATGGATTAAAATACACACAGAAGTATATGGAAACTACAGTTCCGAGATAGAGGAAACTAATAAAGCACACTGCAGGAAGAAGAAACACCCCAAATAAGCTCACATATGTGAGTCTAACTATAAATACATACAACTAGAAGCCTTCATTGCCTCCCAAGTCATCCAAGACAGACAAAATTCCTTAAAAAAGAAACATGAAAGACTGCTGTATGTCCTGCATCACAAGAAAGGAACCGCAAAAAGGGTTAGCTATATTAAGAGAAGATAAATTGAGCAAACTCAAGGGCTAGTAGTTGCTGGAGGAGGGGAAAGGAATGGAATTGAGGGAATTGTTGGAATTGTGGGGATTGAGGGCATGCTTGGAAGAGGAGGCAAAGTGACCTTTGGGACTGTAGGAAAGGTAGGGATGGTGGGGATGCTAGGAAGTGGTGGCAGTGTGGGCTTAGGTAGGGATGGTTGAGTTGTAGGCACGGTGGGCAATGTGGGCTGTGGAAGGTTTGGAATAGAAGGCAATGGTGGCATTGGTATCTTAGGCAATGGTGGCAACTGGAGGAGATGACGGGCAGCTATGCTAACATTCATGCTCGAAAATGTCAGAGCGATGAATAAAGCTACGATAAAGCTGTTGCAAGAGGCCATCACTAGAATTCAAGATACAATACTTGTGATCACCTGAAATGTAGGACAAATAAGTTTTTCTATTCCGCTTGTATGGGAATGTTAAGGCTGATTATACAAGTATTTATAGTAGGACATGGAATCATTATGGTGATTTAGGCACTGCTAGTTGGTTGGAAAATCCTGAAAGACAATTTTTAGGTTTATTGTTAGTTCACCTACTTCTATATCACATTAGTTGACTATTTCTTTGAGATTAATCTGTTTGGTTATCCAATTAGAGTTCATGGACAAACAACAAATCTTGTAAGTGCCTTTCTTTGGTTGATCCTCCGTTAAGTTCTCGGCTCATAAATTAGTATATTACTGCTCTTCTCGAAATTAATAAAATTATACAACACATGTTGTTAGTTTGCAGCAAGCAACCATGACCTGGAACCCTTGAGTTTTCTTGTTGGCAGTTCATCTTCTCATGTGCATTTTGTTGAAAAGATGTCATAGGCTTCTTACGGGTGTTGTTGAATAAGATTT